GCACCACACTTAACCCACAGTAACTCACCATTCACCAACAATCCATTATTATTAGCAGGTGACAGCGTTTTTAAAAGACCTTTGTGTTGCTTGTACTGTTCTGTAACCAAGTACTCAGAGAGCTGGCATCAATACTGGAACAAAAGCGAACCACCACAAACAATCTCCCACAAACATCGGCAAGACAGGTCAACTTCACAAATTTCGTACCAGCTGTCCAATATCAAGAGCATAGTATAACACCTAAGGATGCAAGCATCCTGCAGTCAGCGCGGGATTGGAAATTGGAAGTGGATCTTGATAAGAAGCTTGTGTTTCCCCCAGAAATAGTGGCTACAACACTCCGGCCAGACATGGTCCTGTGGTCTCCATCAACAAAGCTGGTATATGTTGTGGAATTAACAGTACCATGGGAAGATGGGGTTGAAGAGGCTTATGAGAGAAAACAAAACAAATATTCCGACCTGGCAGCTGAAGCATCCCAGAACGGCTGGAAGACCAGTATCTTCCCAGTAGAGGTGGGATGCAGGGGATTTGTTGCCACATCTACCACCAGGTTGCTGAGAAAAATAGGGGTGAAGGGTCGCTCTCTCCAACAGGCCATCAAGTCCATGTCAGGTGCTGCCGAAAAAAGCAGTAACTGGCTTTGGATCAAGCGCAAGGACCCCAACTGGGCAGCAAGGTAGAGGCAGATGGTATGCGGTCAGGGTTAAGCCCAACTCAGGGAGAAGGACGCCCCTGCCATGCAGAGCCCATCAGGAATATGGAGGGTATGGCATGGAGGGGGGTGTACCTGGGACGCTGGGTACACCGTTGAGCCTTCTGGAGACGTTGTGGGCTTCAATCAACGAAACGTCGATGAAGCAGGGTGCCCACCTGATGACCCCAATGACATACCTTACCCTCCTTTTCACCACTCCACACCGACTGCTACTGTCAAGAGTTTCCTACTTAAGGGATTGAAACATCTAGTTCTATTAGCTTTACTGAGTGTGTTTGCTTGCGACAGACTGTCATGTTAAGGCTTTGCTTTCCCTGGAACTTTCTGGTGATTTGTTGCAAAGAGGCCTGTGTTGCCATAGCAATTCCTACAGATTTTCCACCTTTTTGCTTGCCAGACTTTTTGAAAGTGAATTTTTTAAAAATGTGTTACCTATTATCTTAAGTTTATAGGTACACGTGAACTCATGCAACAAATATAGCTGTAGCATTTAGGATACTACAGGTCCTTCTCAAAAAATTAGCATATTGTGATAAAGTTCATTATTTTCCATAATGTAATGATAAAAATTAAACTTTCATATATTTTAGATTCATTGCACACCAACTGAAATATTTCAGGTCTTTTATTGTTTTAATACTGATTATTTTGGCATACAGCTCATGAAAACCCAAAATTCCTGTCTCAAAAAATTAGCATATCATGAAAAGGGTCTCTAAACGAGCTATTAACCTAATCATCTGAATCAACTAATTAACTCTAAACACCTGCAAAAGATTCCTGAGGCTTTTAAAAACTCCCAGCCTGTTTCATTACTCAAAACCGCAATCATGGGTAAGACTGCCGACCTGACTGCTGTCCAGAAGGCCATCATTGACACTCTCAAGCAAGAGGGTAAGACAGAAAGAAATTTCTGAACAAATAGGCTGTTCCCAGAGTGCTGTATCAAGGCACCTCAGTGGGAAGTCTGTGGGAAGGAAAAAGTGTGGCAAAAAACGCTGCACAACGAGAAGAGGTGACCGGACCCTGAGGACGATTGTGGAGAAGGACCGATTCCAGACCTTGGGGGACCTGCGGAAGCAGTGGACTGAGTCTGGAGTAGAAACATCCAGAGCCACCGTGCACAGGCGTGTGCAGGAAATGGGCTACAGGTGCCGCATTCCCCAGGTCAAGCCACTTTTGAACCAGCAACAGCGGCAGAAGCGCCCTGACCTGGGCTACAGAGAAGCAGCACTGGACTGTTGCTCAGTTTTGCATGTCATTCGGAAATGAAGGTGCCAGAGTCTGAAGGAAGACTGGGGAGAAGGACTTGCCAAAATGCCTGAAGTCCAGTGTCAAGTACCCACAGTCAGTGATGGTCTGGGGTGCCATGTCAGCTGCTGGTGTTGGTCCACTGTGTTTTATCAAGGGCAGGGTCAATGCAGCTAGTTATCAGGAGATTTTGGAGCACTTCATGCTTCCATCGGCTGAAAAGCATTATTTATAGCTTCATTTTTCAGCACGACCTGGCACCTGCTCACAGTGCCAAAACCACTGGTAAATGGTTTACTGACCATGGTATTACTGTGCTCAATTGGCCTGCCAGCTCTCCTGACCTGAACCCCATAGAGAATCTGTGGGATATTGTGAAGAAAAAGTTGAGAGACGCAAGACCTAACACTCTGGATGAGCTTAAGGCCGCTATCGAAGCATCCTGGGCCTCCATAACACCTCACCAGTGCCACAGGCTGATTGCCTCCATGCCACGCCACATTGAAGCAGTCTTTTCTGCAAAAGGATTCCCGACCAAGTATTGACTATTGAGTGCATAACTGAACATAATTATTTGAAGGTTGACTCTTTTTTTTTGTATTAAAAACACTTCTTTTATTGGTCGGATGAAATATGCTAATTTTTTGAGACAGGAATTTTGGGTTTTCATGAGCTGTATGCCAAAATCATCAGTATTAAAACAATAAAAGACCTGAAATATTTCAGTTGGTGTGCAATGAATCTAAAATATAAGAAAGTTTAATTTTTATCATTACATTATGGAAAATAATGAACTTTATCACAATATGCATATTTTTTGAGAAGGACCTGTATATAATAGTGTTTAGTTTCTTTGTTAAATGGTAAATATCTACAGTATATATACACACTCACCTAAAGGATTATTAGGAACACCCGACCATACTAATACTGTGTTTGACCCCCTTTCGCCTTCAGAACTGCCTTAATTCTACGTGGCATTGATTCAACAAGGTACTAAAAGCATTCTTTAAAAATGTTGGCCCATAGTGATAGGATACTAGTATCTTGCAGTTGATGGAGATTTGTGGGATGCACATCCAGGGCACGAAGCTCCCGTTTCACCACATCCCAAAGATGCTCTATTGGGTTGAGATCTGGTGACTGTGGGGGCCATTTTAGTACAGTGAACTCATTGTCATGTTCAAGAAACCAATTTGAAATGATTCGAGCTTTGTGACATGGTGCATTATCCTGCTGGAAGTAGCCATCAGAGGGTGGGTACATGGTGGCCATAAAGGGATGGACATGGTCAGAAACAATCCTCAGGTAGGCCGTGGCATTTAAACGATGCCCAATTGGCACTAAGGGGCCTAAAGTGTGCCAAGAAAACTTCCCCCAAACCATTACACCACCACCAGCAGCCTGCACAGTGGTAACAAGGCATGATGGATCCATGTTCTCATTCTGTTTACGCCAAATTCTGACTCTACCATCTGAATGTCTCAACAGAAATCGAGACTCCTCAGACCAGGCAACATTTTTCCAGTCTTCAACTGTCCAATTTTGGTGAGCTCTTGCAAATTGTAGCCTCTTTTTCCTATTTGTAGTGGAGATGAGTGGTACCCGGTGGGGTCTTCTGCTGTTGTAGCCCATCCGCCTCAAGGTTGTGCGTGTTGTGGCTTCACAAATGCTTTGCTGCATACCTCGGTTGTAACGAGTGGTTATTTTAGTCAAAGTTGTTCTTCTATCAGCTTGAATCAGTCGGCCCATTCTCCTCTGACCTCTAGCATCAACAAGGCATTTTCGCCCACAGGACTGCCGCATACTGGATGTTTTTCCCTTTTCACACCATTCTTTGTAAACCCTAGAAATGGTTGTGCGTGAAAATCCCAGTAACTGAGCAGATTGTGAAATACTCAGACCGGCCCGTCTGGCACCAACAACCATGCCACGCTCAAAATTGCTTAAATCACCTTTCTTTCCCATTCTGACATTCAGTTTGGAGTTCAGGAGATTGTCTTGACCAGGACCAAACCTCCAAAATGCATTGAAGCAACTGCCATGTGATTGGTAGATTAGATAATTGCATTAATGAGAAATTGAACAGGTGTTCCTAATAATCCTTTAGGTGAGTGTATATACTATTTGAGGATATAAAGTAGAACTGTAAACCTCATCTGTATTCCTTGCCTTATCTCAAAGGTGCATATTAAAATGTTTAATTTACATTAGGAGGAAGATTAGAAAGGTAAATATAGATATGATAATTAATTTGAAATACCTCAGTTTTTGGACAGGAACATTTTTACTTTAATGCAAGCAAGCAAGCAAATGAAGAGCTGCCCTTACAAAAAAGAAGTATACTTCAAGTTAATTTTAAATAAAGTTCAAGTATATTTTAAGACGACGTTCACTTGCAGAGCGCAAGTTTCTGGATGCCACGTAAGTCTGAAGTAATGAGTTTAGGTAGGAGGGAGCAAAAGCCAGTGGTTGTTCTGTAGGCAAAAGTCAGTGACTTGAATTTGATACGAGCGGCAACTGGCAACCACAGGGCAAGCTGGAAGACCAGCCAGGAGAGCATTACAATAGTTACGAAGTATACACTAATACCACAGTTAAATAAACTTCTTTTTTGAAAGGGTGTGCATGCAAAAAGGTGGCAGTATGGCAGTATTTAACTCTAACAATCACATAACTTTACAATGACTGAGTGTTCTATTTTTTGGTTAAATCATAGAGATGTTGTGTTGAGTCATTAGCTTTGACATTAATGTATTTCGTCAGCAGTTCAAAATGGGTCCATCCGCTGCATATCTTGTTTACAAAACAAAGCAGGGACCAACATAGCTGGGAACAGTCTGTCTGGTTGTAAGGTCACGGAAAGAAAAGCAGACAAAACATTGAGATATTCTAGCCGAGTCGAGTGTCTGCAGCGGAAGCATATTCTGCTCTCTTATTGAGAGTTCAGTGAGAGTTCAAAGAGAAAGAGAGATTTTAAATGGGTTTTCTTTCTCTTTCTTTCTTTCTTTCTTTCTTTCTTGCACAGGTACTTCCACGCCATCTACCTGGGCATCAGGAGCAGACAGAGCGGAGAGAATGACCGTTGGAGGTTTTACTGGAGGATGGTGTACGAGTATGCAGACGTCAGCATGCTCCACCTACTGGCCACGTTCTTGGAGAGCGCCCCTCAGCTGGTGCTCCAGCTCTGTATCATCATACAGACTCACAAGCTCCAGGCTGTGCAAGGTAGCACAACACACACACACACACACACTTTTGTTTGTTTCACTATATATTAGTGAGGACTTCTTATAGACTTCCATTGTTTTTCTATCAGACCCACCCCCAACCTCTAAACATAACCCTCACAGAAACCCGAGCAAAACACTAGATTTAAATATAAACATGATTTGACTGATTTATAAACTCATTTAACTAGCGAGTTCCGGCTGTGTGTTCAACAGGTTTCATTATATTAGTGAGGACATTATTGAATAGTGAGAACATTTTGGACCCAAACTTTCCTTGCCTTTTAAAAACTCATCCTTTTTGGCTAGGCTGGGACACCATCTAACCACCTTTACCTGGTTTAAGCTCTCTTTTTCAACAGGGATCCCAGTATTTTATTATTCTTTTATTATTCGGATATATGTCTTTGTAAGGATGAGGGTAGGACAGTACTGAGGAGAGAGAACATCAGGTTTACTGTCATCCTTCACTTTACACATCTCGTCCTGTCTGTATAACAGTGATGGAGAGGAGTGGAGTCAACTGCCACTGAACCTTAAAGACTGCTGCAGAGGAGAGAAGTGGAGTGCTTTTTCAAGAGCATTGCCAAAGTGGGTTTTTATTAGGGAGAAAGCAAGCTTTCAAAGCAATGCTTTTTTGTTGGGCCCCTTTTTTGGGGAAAGCACCATTTTGGGGTATTGTGAAAATGAATTAACTATGGAATTCTGAGAGAATATTTATAACGTTGTTTAGCATTCAACAAAGCACCTTTTGTTCATTGATGTTATATATCCTGTAGTGTCAGCCACAGTCCATTTACTGACTGGCTGATCCAAGCAGGTCTATAATACCTGGAAAAATTCATCTATTAAATTTCGCATTCATTTCAATAACAGTTACTCCACTGACATATGACCCTCTGGAAGAATGTGATTTGAAATCTGCCATCTTGCTCATGGGCATGTGAGTTCCAGATAGTTTTTTTCCCCCATTATCACCAGGGTCTGATTTAAAAAAAAAAAAACCTTAAGGTAAGAAACCCTTTGAATTAAACATCACTAAGATTTTTTTTTACCCAAAGGGTTAGTTCACCCAAAAATGAAAATTAAGTCATTAATTACTCACCCTCATGTTGTTCCAACCCCGTAAGACCTTCGTTCATCTTCAGAACACAAATGAAGATATTTTTGATTAGATTTGAGAGCTGGATCTCTCCTCCATAGGCTTCCTAAGGGAGTGAAACTTGACGGCCCAGAAAGTCATTGAAGAAAATTTTTAAATAGTCCAAGTGACTACAGTGGCTCAACTATAAGTTTATCAAGCGACGAGAATACTTTTTGAGCGGAAAAAGAAAACAAAAATAATGACTTGATTCGACTATTCCTTTTCTTCCTTGTGGGCTTGATAAACTTATAGTTGAGCCACTGTAGTCACATGGAATATTTAAACATTTTCTTCAATGACATTCTGGGCCGTCAAGTTTCACTCCCTTAGGAAGCCTATGGAGGAGAGATCCAGCTCTCAAATTTAATCAAAAATATCTTCATTTGTGTTCCGAAGATGAACGAAGGTCTTACGGGGTTGGAACAACATGAGGGTGAGTAATTAATGACTTAAAGAAGTAGTTCACTTTTGAAAAAACTTTTGCTGATAATTTACTCACCCCCATGTCATCCAAGATGGCTATGTCTTTCTTTCCTCAGTCGAAAAGAAATTACGGTTTTTGATGAAAACATTCCAGGATTTTTCTCCATATAATGGACTTAAATGGGAACCATACGGTCCAAGGTCCAAAATACAGTTAATAACAGTTTCAGATGCAGCTTAAAATGTCTTTAAACGACACCAGACGATGAATAAGGGTCTTATCATGCGAAACGATCGCTCATTTAAAAAATAAATAACAACGTTTAAGTTTTATAAGCTCACATGCTCGCCTTTCTCTGTTCTGTGTAACTCTCCTGTTCGAACTCGTTCATCAAAATGAACTAATCTTTTTTCGAGTCATTTGATTCATTTAACGACCGAAATGAACGAATTGACTCGGAAAAAGATTTGTTCATTTTGATGAACGAGTTCAAACAGGAGAGTTACACAGAACAGAGAAAGGCGAGCATGTGAGCTTATAAAACTTAAACGTTGTTATTTATTTTTTAAATGAGCGATCGTTTCGCATGATAAGACCCTTATTCATCGTCTGGTGTCGTTTAAAGACATTTTAAGCTGCATCTGAAACTGTTATTAACTGTATTTTGGACCTTGGACCGTATGGTTCCCATTTAAGTCCATTATATGGAGAAAAATCCTGGAATGTTTTCATCAAAAACCGTAATTTCTTTTCGACTGAGGAAAGAAAGACATAGCCATCTTGGATGACATGGGGGTGAGTAAATTATCAGCAAAAGTTTTTTCAAAAGTGAACTACTCCTTTAATTTTCATTTTTGGGTGAACTATCCCTTTAAGGTTTTTTTTTTAACAACCACTGAGCTGTAAATGCCATGTGACCGCTCACTCTGGAGACGTAGGAAAGTGACGTCCTGACAAGACTAATTGGCTATAAACTGACCCTGCCAGCTATAGGTCAATCGCGCTTCAAAATTTTGATAGAAAAGTAATTACTAAAACGTTGGCTACTCGGCCAGCATTTGCGCTATATCATTTACCCTGACCAGACCATATTTATCCCGTATAAGATGTCTTGGAGTGGGGGGCAGGGAAGCTCTTATTAGTCTGTATGCGGACAATGTAATATTGTATTTGCGGAAGATCAGTTCCCATTCTCTTAGATTTAATTGTTTTTGGAGGCTATCTATTAATCTAGGTATACTATTAATCTATCGAAGAGTAAATGTATGCCTCTCTTTGATACTTGTAGTCCTGTTTTTTGGAGAATATTCCATTTAAGATATTTAGGGATCATAAACGTATCTCTGATTGACAATCCCAAAGATCCAAAATTAATATGTAAGTTGAATTTTGTGGAGTTTCTTTCAAAACTCAAACTATAGAAAATTGGAAAATTCTACCTTTGTCTATATTTGGATGTATAAATTAAATTAAATTAACTTAAATTAAATTGGTTTCTTTATGGCACTGGATTCTATAATCCTGTCTTATGTTTGAAACTTTTGAAAGACACACCGGATTCTGAAGATTCACCTCCAAAAAGTCTGTAGGGGGTTTAGGTATGCCAGTACTATTGGGCTGCCAATAATAGGGCTTTAATGTTCTGGCTGAAGGGGGCACCAGGTAATCTGACCCCTTGTGAGTACAAATAGTCTAACTTTGCTGTTGGCACCTCTTTAACGGCAATGCTGTTCTCTAAGTTGGATAAGCCCAAAGCATTGAGTAAACTATGCTTTGTGTTGAAAAATTCAGTCAAAGTCTTAAATCAGGTGAGAAGTTTTGTCCCTGCCTCTGTCCATACGGCAATCTGTTACGATCATTCTTTTTACCCATGTGGTCTGATAGAACTTACCACGTCTGGAGGGAGAAGGATTTAGGTTCCATTCAAGATCTTTATGTTGAGGGGCGGTTTGCATCCTTTAGTCAGTTAAAGGGATAGTTCACCCAAAATGTCTGTACTCTCCATTGACCGCTACACAACTACCACTTTGATGCTTCAAAAAGTTCATAAAGAGATCGTAAAACTAAACCATATGAATTTAGAGGTTTGGTCCAAATTTTCTGAAGAGACTTGATCGCTTTACCTGATGAACAGATTTAATTTAGGCTTTTATTATCATTTAAACATTGATCAGCGAACATAAACAGAAGCTCAACCGAACCTGCATGACGCTCGAGAACAAATCTCTTTTGTTCGTGCAGAAGCTCAAACGTAAGACACGAGAATGAACCTCATTGGTTCTCATTGGCTCCGTTTACCACAACTGATGTGTGAGTTGATGAATGTTTATATGTGAATATAAAAGCCTATATGAAATCTGTTCATCATATCGAGTCTCTTCAGAAAATTTGGACTAATCCACTCAATTCATATGGATTAGTTTTAAGATATCTTTATGAACTTCTTGAAGCGTCAAAAGTGGTAGTTGCGTAGCTGTCAACGGAGAGTATAGAAAGCTCTCAGAAATCATCAAAAAGATCTTCATTTGAAGATGAACGAGTCTTACGGGTTTGGAACGACATGAGGGTGATTGACTAAATTTGATTTGCCTCATGTAAAAAAAAATCTTTTTTTACAAATTAGACTTTATGTGAATTCTAAAATTTGTCATTTTGAACTGTTCCCGGAGAAGCATGTGTTTTTGACATCTTTTTGAATCCTCCTGACTCTAGGCACCTTCTTTGTAAATTTATTTGTTTGTTTATTTGAAGTCTTCATCGCAGCCCCCACTGTGAGATTTAAAGTGGCCTGGGAGGAAGACCTGTGAGCTGAGCTCTCTGAAGATAAGTGCTTGACCATGATGCAGGCCTGCTCAGTCAACAGCACCTGATCCAATTCAAAGTTGTTCACCGCTTACATTACACTAAAGCCAGGTTGCATAAACTTTTCCCCTCTGTTTCACCAATGTGTGACAGCTGTAAGGTGGTGGAGGATACGGCTTCCCATGCTTTCTGGTTTTGCCCTATTATTGTCAGGATTTTGGTTTAGCATATTTGACTGGTACTCCAAGGCTAACAATAGGCCTCTTCCACCGGATGCTGAACTTGCTATCTTTGGCCTTTTGCAGCACACCGGCTGTCGGCTGATTTCTTCAGTGTTTACTGTACAATCGTTAACAGGGACTTTGGCATTGTTTGAATTATTTGTAGTGTTTTATACCCGTTTATTATTGTGGTATCATTGATTACCTAAATGGCATTTTAAAACAAACTAAATTGGTCGCTTTACATATTGGTCTGTTCCTGTATAAGTGGGAGGTGCTTGGATAAGAATATGTGGTTTTGCAGAGCCTGACTTTTAGAAGTGAAGATTATCTGTTATCATGTTTCTCATTGCTACTTGTGTCACTAGAACACTAGGGTCGATTTATGGGACACTTTAAAACCTTCA